TCTTATAGTCCAGTGCATCTTATATTCCGAAAAATACGGTACTTATTCTGACTGGTGAAACAGATCAGCCTCAAAGAAAATGGAGATATCTGCATATTGGGTTGCTAGGATTTTAGAGAATAAGGTACACAGAAACTGTATGTAAATTTGAGGTGATCAATGAAAATTAAATCCCCACTTCTGTTTGTTGGCTAAATAAATATATATATGGCATTACAAAAGGTCAACCAACAGGCTTTGCTCAGACCAGTATTGAAATTATAGGACTTCTAAGCAGATATTCATAGGTAAAGATACTGGAAAAAATATTGATAAGAAGGAAACCAGCAGCAAACTTTAAGATTCAAGCCTGTATACCTTTATTTATATCACCTATCAATCTCAGATCCAAAGTTAATACTATATCTCTGTGACTATTCATTTCTGGGCAATAGTTATAGTAACAGTGAACCGGTATAAGCTACAACAAACTAATCTGGTCTTGGCCCCTTGCTTCTAAACTCTGTCTAATCTATGCTCACAACTATTTGATAAGAAGAAGGCATAAGTTCAACAAATAATTGCAGAGATTTTATGATAAACTATTTTTTAGTATTAATGTTGGTTGGAAAAAAGAGAGAATAAATATAGGCAGTGTTCCAGAATATCCACACTGAATAAGCATAACATTTAAGTATAAAGTATATACTATCCCATAGAACTTTACAGCATTCTCTGGGCAGTTTACAACGTAGAAGCATTATTTGCATGTCACCCCCAGCAATTTGGATCCTCATTTTACCAACCTTGGAAGAATGGAAGGATGAGTCACTCTTGAGTCATGTTCAGGGTCAAACTCCAGGTTGTGGGCAGAGTTTGCCTGCAATACTGCACTATAACCTCTGTGCCACCAGGGCTCTTAATAAATCTTTAATCAGAAGGCATTGGTTATATATCTGTTTCAAAAACTATTTGGTAGAAAGCTTTGGAATCAATAGGACAGGAAGACTTCTTTAAAAAGTCATAATTTTTTTCAGGCTCATGCAGAAAACTAATAAAAGACATGTTACTTAAAAGAAGTGTTGCACTTGCCCTCAGGAGTTCCAAAGTACTATTTCCAAATACATTTTGAAGCCTGCACAGTTATAGAAACCATCTTTAGAACCTAATAAAATCTGTAGACACTACAAAGGATTTTATTTTGTAATGATTTTTTTATTTTGGGAGCTAGGACTAATGCTTAAATTGTTTAAGTTAGAAAAAAGAAAGTAATAAATATGCTTTCTCTTACTTATGCTTTAAAAAGCATTAAAAGTGCGGACAAAAAGTCTCTTCAGTTGGTTTTTTTTTTTTTACCAGAATAGAAGATATTTTCTTTTGGCAGAAAGAAAAAACGGTGAATGAAAGGATCAGGATTTTCTACAGCAATTAACAAGATAATCAACTTGTTCTTTGTTTATCTCCAATAATTACATTTGTTTGATCTGCATAGGGTTATGCAGCACAAAGTACTTAAATCCTCTTCAAGATTAGCCTAAATAAGTTGTAAACAGGTATAATCCAATTCCAGTTCCACAGAGAAACCAGGAACTAAATCCTATTCCCACTTTGGGGAAAAACAACACAAATCTGAATTTTAACACATAAAGACTTTAAGATTTATTTTTCAGCCTGTAGATCTTATCTAGCAATCAAAAGGGGGGAAAGCCTAATGACTGATTTCATCAGAAAATAAAAGTCAATTTTGAGCAACTAAAAGCAGGAAAGATATTCTGCTTTCTCTTTCTACATTTATTTTTCTTGCAAAACTACGTGATCTATTGCCATTCCAGACATGTTTTTTGACCATGCTAACTTTGGATCCTGCAGAAATAAACTTAGGTAGATTTAATGGAGAACTAGCAAGTAAGAATCAATTTAAGGACCCTAAGAGCCAAGGTGGCGCAGTGGTTAAATGCAGCACTGCAGGCTACTGCTAGATCAGCAGGTCAGCGGTTCAAATCTCACCAGCTCAGGGTTGACTCAGCCTTCCATCCTTCCGAGGTGGGTAAAATGAGGACCCAGATTGTTGGGGGCAATATGCTGACTCTCTGTAAACCGCTTAGAGAGGCCTGAAAGGCCTATGAAGCGGTATATAAGTCTACTGCTATTGCTATTGCTATAATTCATACACAACCTGGTTGTCTAGTTTTTTTTCAATTAGTGAGATGTATCTTCTTGCTATTGTTGTTGTTCTTTGTGTTATTTCCATCATATCACTGGGGCCGCAGTTTTGTATTTCGCCTGCCAATTTGTCTGGTCTGCAGTATTGAAAAGACATATGCCTATGGCTCGCATGCTGTCATGCAGGCCATCCATTCATTGCTTTTTCAGTCATTCTTGGGGGTTGCTGGCCATCTGGGCTGAATGCAATTGCTGGCCTCAGCACCTCGTGATGGATTCCACATCAGTTCTGGCCACATGTCCATACCACCACAAACTCACTTCCTTAATTTTGTCTGGAATTGTGAAGGCCTTCGAAATGTCTTTGTTCATAACAAGATCAAGCCATGTGACACCAAAAGAGTATCTGATCATGTGCATCAATGTGTGCAGTGCTGGTTCATGTCTTTTCGTCATTGGCCATTAGGGAGATGTATGAACCTACCAATTTTGCCTTCTCAATACATTAAAACCAGGCCATTTCTGAAGTTAAACATTTCTCATTATGCATGAACTCAGCAATTTTCACCTCACTCAAAATCAAACCGATCTTGATGACTGCTCTCCCCTTTACCAGTTTCCACATTAGGTTTTCCTTACTAATGTGGACTCCATTCTACAACTCTTACTGTGCAAAAGTAAATATCAAGCACAAGGATAAAATCAGATCAATAGCAGCTTGAATTGTTTCGGCTTTCTAGAATACTGGCATCCATTAACCCTAATGAGATTAAAGCAGACAAAAAGGGAAGCAGGATTATTTTAAGAGCAGCTGAAAGAATGGTTCCTTCTCTCCCTGAGCAGTTGTACTGCTCATTTTATTAAATAAAGGAGCATTATTTCCTTTTTTCAAGCCTCTATTCTCACCTACTTTTCCACTCTTTTGAGTTGCAAACCTAGTTAATTTATTTCTATAATATACTCCAGGAAAGCCTTGGTTAAAAAAATAAATAAATTGTGATGTAAATAAAAAGCACATATAGCATGTTAAAGAGAAATCTCTAACTTAATTTTATCCACTATGGTATCCTCTAGAAATATTAGTCACATAAACTAGAAATTCTATACTGATTGGAGAAATGATTTAGATGATTTAGATGGCATCTGCTTGCTAGCTACCTACGATTGACAAGAATCTGGCTGGGTTTGGGGAGGCTCTCTATCTACACCTATATAAAACTGGCCATTTAGTTGGAGCTGCAATTTTCCATACACTTCACACTTGTTAAATGGTTAAATGCACAAACTAGTGCATCCATGCTTAATCAACCCAAAACAAGTAATTTGTACAATAACGTCAGGGTTACAGGAGAAGTTCAAGTGGATAAATATTTCTGTGCAATTTTCATATGAAAAACTACAGCTAAATCATTTACTAAGGCATTTCAGCAACTGCTTTCATTCAAGTCACATTGTTCTTTTTCAAATGTCAGGTTGTTAATGGGGAGACCTTTACCTTCACAAGGCACAGAATTTAAAATATTATGCTAATGTATATAGCTGCTATAGCTACTGTAGTATTATTACTGCTATCAGGAGTAGATTCATAAGTAATACATTAATATTTCTATTAATCTATTTTGGTAAATGAGAGAAAGAGAACGCATCTTAGACTAATTAAGCCATCAGCCCTATGTAGTTCCTCTAACCCTTTAGATCACAGCATGTTGCTACCTAAGTACAAAAGAGAGGGTGGAGAACTCTCTCTCTTTCTCTCTCTCTCTGCCTATTAGTGTTGAAAGGACTAATTTTGCAATATGTTATCTGTTAAACATTTAAACAATAAGCATAAATAATTGATAAGAACATAAGGGAATAGAACATGTGTTTCAGAGCTAGGACCTAATCTGGATGGGTGGTCTCAAATTCTGGATAGTACATTGAAAATGGGAGTGGAAAAATATTATGTTTTCCTTCTATAATCTGAATTTTAAAAATTAAATTTCACATGTTTAAACTTCTTTATCTCCCCAGCTTGGAAAAGCCTTCACTAATATTTAAACAATTCATTAGTATATTAGTGTGCGTGCACATATACAAATGTATGCATGTGAGAATTTAATTCAGCAGCTGTATTATATTTATGTACAATAAATGCATTCATTATCCCAACAAGATACTTCCTAGCAAAAAATAATAATGAAGACATTATAATTTTAAAGAATCACATGCGAACTGGACATACATATATACCATGCATACTTTAATGGACAAAATAGAAAACTGCACCAAACTGTAGAACAGCATATTGAACTTAATTTTATTATTTCCCAACTCAGTTTATTACTATTACTAATCGAGATTTATAGTTGGGGAATCTATGGATTTGGGTTTCTTTTTTAAAGGTAAGAAAATCAGTTCTGGACCAAAGATTAAAGGATGCTATATGTAATGTCATTTTTTTTTAGTCAAGAACCATTCTATGAAGACAACATTTCCTTATGTATTTGTGGTTAGTAAAACAAAGGTCAAGATTGAATCATGTGTAAGCTCTACTTAATTTCTTACAGCACATGCAGATTTTGATGAACTGCAGCTTGCTGCATCCCTCGCCATTGGCCATACTGACTATGTGCTCAGCAACCTCTACAGGAATAAAGAATAAAAGAAAGAACACGTAGAATACAAATTTGATATTTTGTGTTTAAAAATGTTTGTTTTTGAAAAACATGGAAGCTCAGGTTTTCAATTATCGCTAATTATTTTTGACATTAAAATTCCTGTATTTTTTTTAAAAATCCCAATTTGAAGGGAAAATGTATACTGGGATGAAGAAGCACAAAACCAAAGAAAATGTACATTTTTATATTTTATCTTACCTCTTGCGTTAACCTCCCAGAATCAGAATAAAATTGTCTGTTCCAGTTTGATTCCATCCATCCACAAGTCACTGATATGAAAACTTCAAGCAATAGGAGGAATAACCAGATGCTCCTTGATTTCATTGCTCTAATTCTAAAGGAAATAAGAAAGCATTTTTGTGAAGAATTAATGCCTAGTGGTTTGTTTGTGCTAATATTCTGTTGCTTATTGAATAAGTCATAAGTAGGGGCGTGCATAAGTGCACTAGCGTGCCTAATGTCCCTGTCCTACTGTTCCCATTTATTTGTACCCATTTCCTCTGTTCTTATTCATGTTTATTCTTATTTCTGTTATCTTGTACATAAGTGACAAATAAAAATAAATAAATACTTGATTATACTTATACATCATATCAAACAATTAAACCAGAGGTGAGCACTTCAGTTTGCAATGGGGATGGAGAGAATCAAGCATTGTGGCCCCAGCTGGCTTAAGAATACTGCAGAGTGGGGCCACACTTATAGAATTGGAGAAGGCTTCACCACCCTTCCTTGGCTTTCTTGGAGATGATTATTTATGAAACAATGTTAAACTTTTAGTGGGGACACATACAACTTTTTTAATCATGCAGGAAGATGGAAATTTTCATCATTCTTAATATAAACATGAATATAGAGAACTCCAGGGGTGGGAGAGGAGCGGTTCAGAGATTCCTTGCAACTAGGGTTGAAGGTTGACCAGCCTTGCCACAAACCATGCTTTACATACTATGGTAGATGAGTTCAGGATAGTTGTGTGATTAGTAAAATAGATTTCAGTAGAGAGATATTGAATTGTAGATGCAAACCAAAGTCCAATTCAAAAGTCATAATGAACTAATCCTTAGACTTATATACCTTTGTTTCTCTTCCCTTCTTCAGCAGAGATGGCATATCTAGATATCCTTAGGAACAGACTACATTTTCCCATTACATTTAATCATAGGAACCTTAGTTTGTTTCAGATACAGTTAACAAACAGAACTGAACCCAGAGTTTGAAAATTATTTAACTACGCCTTGGGGGAAAAAAAACACCCAAATGAAGTTGGTACTTCATTTTAACTGAGTAGAAAATATGCGTGCATTTAAAATAATAATTGAAATATTTTAGCCTCTTAAAAGGTAAGGTTCCCCTTGCACGTATGTGCTAATTTTTCCCAACTCTAGGGGGCAGTGCTCATCTCTGTTTCAAAGCCAAAGAGCCAGTGCTGTCCGAAGACCTCTCCGTGGTCATGTGGCCGGCATGATTAACACTGTTACCTTCCCATCAAAGGTGGTCCCTATTTTTTACTTGCATTTTTACATGCTTTCCAACTGCTAGGTTGGCAGAATCTGGGACAAGTAATGGGAGCCCATTCCATTACGCGGCACTAGGCATTCGAACCGCTGAACNTTTGTTCACATATTGTTTTGTTTTGACCTTGCACCCCCCCTCCCCTGTGGTTGTAAGCCGCCCTGAGTCCCCTCAGGGAAAAGGGTGGCATATAAATCCCAATAAACCTTCAAACCTTCAAACCTTCAAACCTTAGGGTCTCCAAACAGATACAATAGTCATACTAAAAAGTTGGGTTGCTTGGTCTTCGGAAGATCAGTACTGAGATTATCATGGATTCTGCACTGATCCCATGAAGATTTCCTCAGCACAATAGTTCATAAATGGGGTTTACCTTTCAGTATTTGTAGACTATATTAGGTTTGGAAGACAAGGAGTTGATTTGGGGTGGAGGGGGATGATTGGAATTTTCCTGGAAGATGCTGATTAATTGGTTGCTGTGAATGGTGGTGTTCCTACTTTGAACAGCCTCATCTGCTTGCTGTGTGTGGCCTGGATCAGATATTTGGCTAGGTTGTTGAATGTATCCAGCTTTATTGATCTGTTGATAACTCCTTTATTTTAGTGCCTGGCTTCCAGGAATTCTTTGGATTTTCTAATGTTTGTGTGATTTATTGCTTTTTGTGTTTTTGTAATAAATTGTGTAAACTGCATTGATGGCATGGATGGCTCTTAAGGATTTATGATTTTAGCTCTTTATTGCAGTTGTATGCTACTTAGGGTTTTTTTTAAATAGTTACCTCCCTGTTTTTCCTATGCAGTTAGCCAATTGCAAACCCAGTTGTTAATTATGGAAACAGTGTAAACTCTCTCTTGGTGAGGCATGCAGTCTTTTGGTTTGCACAGAATTCTTTGTAATGTTTCTACATATTCATGAGCCACTGCTACAACAACATTTCCATACACAAAATGTATCAGAGCTCTCCCAGCAGGTTATTCCAACTGTTAGGCATCACCAAACCAACAAAAACACTACAACCTGATCATGAAGTATACAAAACAAAGTTGGTCTACCTCTGATGCAAAAAAATCCATAAGATACAATATTCTAAATATGCAATATAGTTCTCTTTCCCATTGCCCCATTTGTAAGTAATCTACATTCCATTATCCATTTTAAAATAAATGTTATAAAGTTTATATTCTGCCTTTCATTCAGGAGCAAAACATATAAACTGCTTCCTCCTATTTTTCTCAAAATATTTAAAGTAGGATGGGCTGAGCTGGGAGAAAGTGACTAGTCCGTAGTCATTCAATGATTTTTTGTGGCTCTCAAATTTTACTCCACTCTATTAGCTATTAAGAGTACCCAGATATATTTAAATTAGCTAATTATTTCATTCTAAACACTATGTCAGTATAATAGAGTGGTTATGGAAACTCAGATTAAACTCTGCCCTTAACCATCAAAGCTCACCAGATTTCTTTCTACCCTGTTTATTAGACAGGGTTGTTGGATTAAAAATGGGAGGTGCATGTGTACTTTATACTTCTGGAGGAAATGGGGCAGTGGTGGGTTTCAAAATTTTTTACAACCTATTCTGTAGGCCTGGCCTGTTTTGTGGAAATGGCTTGGCAGTCATGTGACTGGGTGGTTGTGGCCAACTTGGAAAATGTGGTCAAACTCACTTAACGATGCTCTTGCTTAGCAACCAAAATTTTGGGCTCAATTGTGGTCATAAGTTTTCTTTCTTTCTTTCCCTCTCTCTCTCATCCTCCCTTCCTTTTCTTTCTCTTTCCTTCTTTCTCTTTCCTTCTTTCTCTTTCCTTCTTTCTCTATCTTTGTCTTTTTTTCTCTCCCTCTCCCTCTACTCCTTCCTTCCTTTCTTTCTTGTGTCTCTCTCTCCCACTTTCTTTCTCCCTTCCCTCCCTCCCTCCTTTCTTTCTTTCTCTGTTTCTTTCTTTTTCTTTTCTTTCTTTCTTTTCTTTCTTTTCTTTCTTTTTTCTTTTCTTTCTTCTTTCTTCTTTCTTCTTTCTTTTTTCTTTCTTTTTTCTTGCTTTCTTTTTTCTTTCACTTTCTTAGTTTTTTCTTTCACTTTCTTTTTTCTTTCACTTTCTTTCTCTTTCTCTTTCTTTTTCTTTCTTTCTAAATCACTATAAGGTTTTATAAAAGCAATCATAAGTTTAGGGTGAATTAAATCTTTCTCCAAAACATAAACCAGGATTCCAAACAAAAACTTCTCTGTCAGCATCAAACTCAGGTTTTGACTTTGGGACAGACCAAGTTTCTCCAGCACTCTCTCAACAGAGTGGGGGGGATAAGACATGTCTAGTCTACAATGCACCCCTTGTAGCAGTTCCAAAAAGATTCCACAATTTAATTCAGGAGATCCTGAGGGCACAGATCAACCCCTAAGAGGCTTCAACAGCTCTCAGATAACTGCAAAAAAAACAAACCCCAATCCTTCCATTCCCCCCTTCCCCCGGTCCCCCCAAAAATCTAGTCAGAACCTATCTTTCCCCTACGATCCAGCCTCAACCAGTACCTAGCTTTCCTCCCCACCTCACACACACATACATACACACACACCGCCATCACAACTGATGCTTGGATGATAAGTGAAACATTTTGTTCTTCTTCCTCCTCAAGGAAAAAACAATCCAGTTGCCTTTTGGAAAAAGCACCTTTGAGGCATAAAAGAGCTGTCACAGGGCAAAGAGCTTCCTGCGAATGCCTGCAAGCAGCAGCTTCAGGCACCTGCTCATGTCTGACAGTTCTGTTCGGGAGCGGAGGTGACAGCAATTTCAGTTTCANGTTTAGCCTCTTACTAGAGCAAATAAAAGGGGAAATATCTGAATCATGTGTAAGTCTCCTTTTATCACTACTTTTCTTAGAATCATTTCATTTATGGCACACATAACTACAAGCAAATAGCACAGGTTATATAGTAATTGGGTAGGTTATTAATTCCAATGATTCTGAAAGCAAACATGAACACTGAAGAATAAGTGATATGTATCATAATCACATGTTACAGGAACATAAATTTGATGTTTTAAAAGATAATTAAATTTTGCATTTTTAGAATGCATAAAGCTTGAGGTAATTTGGATACTAACGCTTTTTTGAGACATGAAGTAAAGTGCTCAACTGTCAGCATTTTGAACTGTGAGAATGTTCTACAACAAAACCGAAATTCAAATGCTTCATTAATAGGCTGAATCTTTCAAATAACATCTGTTGAAATAATCACACTCCCAGTGATACGTAAGATCAGAATGACATTTTCCATCATCACCTTCCCTCCAAAATCGTCACTGTTTTTGAAAATCACCTTATAGTTATGTACTCATTTTTCACAGTAATTTCTTACCACCTTGGAAAGTTGCCATCTAAATGAAGAAATAAGGATCTCTAGAATCCAACCCATAAAAAATAATCAGAAATTTAGTCTCAGAACAGTACACAGGTTCCAGTTCCTTAGTTTCAGATAGGACTGTGTATTGTACTAGGAAGAATTTTTGGAATTGGGATAGGTATTTTTCTAAGAAGTAACTACATTTTGGCTTGGTTGAAGTGATGAATGTTTTAGGGGTCACTGCACTGCTAGTCTAATGAACAGAGATTCATTCTGTTTCATGTCAGATTGACTTCTCAAAGGTCATTTTTAAGGCTTAATCATTTGTGTCGGAAGGACTATTGTTTCATTATAGTCAGTCAAAAACATAAAAGTCTCAATTTATTTTCTTATATTTACTGAGCGTGGGGACTCAGCTAATATGTCTTTGGTTTGCCAAGCTGAAAGATTTGAGTTATTCTGCCAACCTGGCTATAATACT